AGGTGGGCTTTTCCGATCCAGGAGCGCGAGGCTGCGGGGATTGCTACGGAGACTTGGTGGCCGTTTGCTTTGAGGGTGTCGACTAGAGGTCGGACGTATGGTGAGAGTTTGGTGCATGGGGGACCATCGTCGTTGACGACCTATTTTTGGGAATTGTTAGTTTATTTGTCTTGGCTTTTTCTTGGTTTGTTTTTTTTTTTTTCTTTTCTTTTTGCTTTATCTACGTTTGTGCAACGTATTGCTCGGGCGTAAGGAAATGCAATGAAATTGCGATAACGAGTGGAGTATCATGCCGTGATGATGTTCCCGAAGGAGTATGGATCTATGAGCAGATCCCTGCAGGAAATGGCTTTCTATACTCCGTAACTCCGTACTCCGTGTTTCGCCAGGAGGAGGGGGAAAAAAGAAAAAAGAAAAAGAAAGGAAATATTGCCCGTGATGTCACTTACCAGGATGTGCATGACGGGATTAAGCAGCGCCAAGGGCGTTATGGGTGAATATCCGAAGTTTCAATTTGGATCTTGATTTTGGTTTCCCCTGTGGCCGTTTGGACGGTGATTTTGTTTTTGGTTCTTTTCTAGTGTTTTTTTAAAAGGAGAACAAGAAAAGAAAGAAATATTTCTGCACCCCGGAAATACTCGGGGTGCAGGACACTTATACCTGGGGGAATCAGGGTAAAGAATGAACCATTGGCCACACCGAATTACACACCGGGGTGAAGCAGTTCAGGCTGCGGGGACGGTAATGGTAGAACCGAATGCAGCGTGCGGTGAACCGATTCGGGTTTCTTTCGGGGACGCTGACTATTAGTTTTCTATTATTCGATATGTTGATGACTCTGGAGGGCTTCCAAGGTTGATATGTTATGCGCTGTACAAGACTGGAGTAGTAATGGATAGGATATATCATCCGGTTAATAGTTAATAGTTCATAGTTCATTATAAATGCTGTTCAAAACTTGCCGCCTACTTTGTATATATGGGCCCATCTATATAATTTAGTAACAGATAACAATCATGTGTTCCAAGGTTTATATAATCGATGATATAAAGGTTAGAGATAACGTTAAGTCATAAGATACCTATATGCACCTAGAATACGTTCTATCCTTCTATACTTCTAGGGTTTATAGAAGTTTAAAGCCCAACCTTGGAAACCAAAAGGAGGGATGAGGTAATCCGTCCTGCAACCCGTGGACTGTCCCAAGTTACCCTGCCAAGTGCCAAGGCAGTGCTGCAACCTACACGGTAGAACAGGGTCTGGATGGAAATTTTTATTTGGGGTTTAACTGAAGAATTGATGTTACATTTAGTCGGCGTAATGCGCCTGCATTAAGAAAAAGAGAAAAAGAAAAAAAGAAAATCACCAAGGTTCCTGGACCATTCATAGCTCAGGGGCCCGCCACGTACATTTTTGATACATCCGTGGACCATCCTCACTCGTAAGACCAGTGAGACCACTGTGCCGCGAGATGCCTATCGGCGATCGCCAGGTATACGGCTCGTACTCCGTACACAATAAACATATGTTCTGATGGGTTTATATATCCCCTATATTTGCATATGTATGTTAATCTTGGAATTCAAATATTTAAATACAACTCCCAGAGTCTATTTTCATACGTTGTAAAAGGCAAATACTAAAGTGGTCTGTGCCGCAGCACGCTAAAGACGATCGCAGAAAATCTTGAGGTGGGGAACCCCGTCAGCCCTTGCAACAATCCTCTGGCCCCTCAACTCTCTCCTCTTCAATTCACTACCTATATCCATTCGATACTCGGACACATCGACACATCTTCGCCGCTTATCTATATAACACCCATTCTGCCACCCACCTGAACCCGCAAAGTCTCAAAAAGCCAAGTCTTTTTGGGAACTTTGCTCAACGAGGTCGTCGCCGCAACCTCACCCTCTTATCCTGTATGGACTGTGGAAGTACTGGGACCGCTGCGGGGATCGACCCCAAAATTTTGGACAATTGGCAAACTGAGGGCGCCTTTTCTGTCGCTTCATGGGAACATCTGGGTTATGACCAGCCACCCGAGTGGGACACCAGCCAGGAATCGAGTCAGTGCGATGCGGATATCGCGGACTTAGGGACCTTCCATGGCCCATTGGCTGGAGAATTCCGTAGTCTGGAGAACAGGTCCGGAAACCCTTTCCCGATGTGAAACCGCAAAAGTCCGATGTCGATGTGGCTGACACTTGTTTTGTTATAGAAAGCACGATGTAGCACCCGAGAACTTGAACTACCCCGATGGCCTCGTTGAGGGAACTGCCAGTGGCACTCTTAGCCCCAAGACCATCCCATCTTCCGCCGACGAAAATTACCATTCGGACGAGGCTTGGCCACACTTTCAACTGTACAACTCAGTGGCCATGCCGATGGATGCATCTCTACTCTATTCCTACGCGAAAGGACCGAACCACTCGAATGGGGCCGTCATTGTCGATGATGTTGGGGAGATGCCTCATGGTGATTTCCCGGATGCCCCGGTAGAAGGCATCATGTCCTTCCAGCAGATTCCGCAGTCCTTTCCCATGATCCCCGAGGAGTGGACTGAAATTCAACATGGCATTCCCGTGGAGAATATGCCTCCACCTCAAGAGTCCATGGCACTCTCGGTGGACGCACAGGAGAACCCCAAGGATCACTCCCTGCGGGGGTTCCAGACTTCTATCAGATCGCTGGAATCGCGATGGCTGAATAGTCTGGAATCCCAACTGCCCACCCAGCAGATCACGCCGGTCTCTCAAACTGCTGGCCCCCAAAACGCACACATGGGACAGGAATTCCAATTCAAATCCGAAAACTCTTCAGTGTCAGGCGATCTGTCGGGAATATACGAGTGCTCCTACTCCGCCACTAGCGACGAGACCCCTGCATTTGCGGACCGTCAGTTGGAAGACGACGATGTCCAGTGGAAGACCTCACCGCATGAATCTAGTTCACCGGAGGGGTCACAGCCTGCATTCAAGACCACTGCCTTCATGGTAAGTGAGGCCCCTGTGGAGTCTCTAGTTTCCACTATTCCTGCAAGATCGAGGGCTTCGTCGACCGCTGGCCAGCGTGCCGGTCGACCGGCACCACTTGCCATGCAGACCTCAGCTACAGTCAAGAAGCGCAAGGCCAGGAACCCTGCTTCAATGGATCAGGGCATCACAAGACCCCTGCAAATTGTCCAGGAGGATGGCCAAGGCGGCTCCATTGCGTCTGCAGACTTCGTCTCGCCCCCTCGTGGCGCCCGTCGTAAGGGCCCATTGAGTATGGTTGGACGGGCCAATGCAGGCCTGCGCCGCAAAAACAAGGACACTTGTGTTCAGTGTCGACTGAACAAGCGCAAGGTGAGGATTTCCGCATGAATTTTATATTTTCATAAAGCTAACGTATTTGCAGTGTGACGGAAGCGCCCCTTGCGATGCTTGTCGGCCCACACTTCACGAGCAACCATGCGCTCGTGCATGCTTCTCCAGCATTGTCGAGTTTGGAACCTGCAACTACATCTGTAAGCATCCAGCAAATCTCCCCAAGGATTGTTTCAAATTGGCTGACCCTATCTAGCTCAACGAGCTATCAACCACCCTACGATGGATGGTTCTAACCGAGTCCGGATGGCGATCCCATCTGAATTTGACCTCAGTCAGCTCTTGTCTTTGCTCGCTGAGCGCCAGGGGCGGTTCAACATCCGCGCTAGCCAGGCCTGGGGCTCTCTCTACGTCCTTGACCTGGGAGAGACCTACAAGTTCCTGAAGACCCTGAGCGAGTACAACGGCAACTCGAAGTCCACTTTCCTCGAGTTCATCGACCGACGAATTGTGGACTCGAAGGACAAGTCCAAGAACTGGCTGTCCTGCGTTGCCGATTGCGACCCAATGAACCAAGCCTATGTAAGACTTCACTGTTCCATATGCCAAGAGTACAAAAACTAACCAGCCCCAGACCCTCCTCTCCCAGTGGAACAATATGCCCAGCCGCGCCAAATATAGCTTTGTGCCTCTTGACTCAGCAGGCGAAGAACGAACCATGGACATCAACAACCCAGAAGACCAACGCGAAATCCTCCTCGCAGCTCAACTCTCCCGAATTTTCTGCCGCATGCTCGAAGTCGAGGGCTTCCGCAAGCTTGAGCGCGACTTCTACAACATCAAGTGGAAGCAGATCACCCACGAGACGCACGTCCGCTTCCTCGGCGAACTCGGCCACATCCTGCTAACGCTGCGATGGCGCGTGAGCTGGTGGAAGCGGCTCGGCGACGGCGGCCAATCTCCCGATCCCACACAGCAGCACTACGTCGACCGTGTCGAGCTCCTCTGCCGCATCCTCTACGTCTACTACACCTGCGTTCTGGCGAAGCTGCCCTCCTGGTCGGCGGCTGATGTGCCCAAGGGCATCTGGTCGACATATGCGGACTCGGAGAATGCCGTTTGGGATGATTTCCCTTCGGACTCCAGTGATGACGGCTTCAATAGTTGGATGGAGCGTGGCCAGGACCTGATTGAGCAGGCTGGTGTTCCGAACCGCATCTCGAAGTTCTGAGACCGGGATGGCAGATCTGATCTGCGAACATGGTTTGGATGGTAATGGCATTGGAGTTAGAATTATAGATACCCTTTTTTTTGTTTCGTTTATTTCCTTTTCCTCTTCGAGATTTCTTGTTTCTATTGGATGCATCATGACTTTTACATACAAGATCTGCCTTATGATTTGATGATTATTCCGCATGTTCTATCCTATTCGGTTGGTTCTTTCACAATTTGTACATAGAATTACTATTTATCGACAGATATACAATGCTTCTCATCTCTACTTCATCTACTTCTTCTCGCCCAACTCATACAACCTATCTACCTTGTATAGATATAGATCAAAAGACAATAGAAACAGGGTATCGATTTCATGCACTCATATAACGAGCTCTGTATAGACGAATTGTAAACACGATCGAGTCAGACCAAAACATCTCAATCTTTTAAAACATTGAATTCCCCACAACTGCAAGTTCAAGTCGCCTTCTTAGGACCAGACTTCAAAGTCCCATCCTTGCGAGCCGCGTTACGCTCCTTCTGCAGACGGTCCTTCTTTCCACCAGCCAACAGCTCAAGATGGCCTGCCTTTGTCGCGAGACTGCGTTCTGTCATTGAGACGAGACCGGATGTGAGTTGCTAAAAGCGATGTTAGTGATTTTTGCTTCTTTGGTCCTGTTTCGTCTTTCTTGTGCTTGGTCTTGTATCACAGGGCACAGAGTGTGGTCTGGAAGCGGATCGGTGCGTACCTTGGTCAGTTTCTTCTGCTTAATCAGGCCGGCTTTCTTGGGCGCGACGGAGCGGACACCGGGTCTTGTGGTCTTGGCGGGCCTGGTGAGCGGGTGTGTTAGTTTTTTTTTTTTTTTTCTCCTGGGTGGACGGATGGGACTGTGACTGTCGTCTGTAGTGGTGGTTTTGTCTCTGTGAGTGTCACTTACTTCCTGCCTGGGCCGGTAGGACCGGCCTTCTTCAATGATCCTTGCACCATGGTTGTGTTGGGGTTGAGGTTGGTATGGAGGGAATTTGTATGCAGATGGCCACAAGAGAAAGAGACAGATGAATTTTGTAAAGTAGCACCGCCAGCAGCACGAAGTGATTCTGGGCTTTCTATTTCTTTTTTCGGGGGGGTTGCCAGAGGGAAAATTGCTTATCGGCTTATCTGGATCACGTGCATTGTGGGCCTGGGGCATGTATTTTCCGCTCCGAAGTATACAACTACGCATTTGGCTGAGGAATATAATTTTAGAGATGATGAGGATGAAATTAATGATAATGAAAAAAAGATGAAGAAAAGGAAGAAAAAGATAGATAAACGCGAGAACGACCGGAGTCGAACCGGAACAGTCCAGGTAGTGGAAGATCTTCGGCACTTCCCTCGTAGTACACAGGTGCACCCTGTTACCACTAGGCCACCTGCTGTTGGGGATACTAGTATTAGGTTATACTTCCTTTTAACATACACTTTTTTAAAGTTTCTACTCTGTTTATGCACAAAGGGACACAGTCTGTACCTCAGACCCATGCTTATGCATAAAGGAATACGATGGGTTTTATCTTGAACCTTTTAATTCATCCCTAGGGCTGTGTGAAGTGCGTGGTCAATACATATGTTGATGTCTCTATGATGAATGATGGTGGACTTAGGCCAGAACTATATGTTTGCTTTACCAAGACTCTCATTATCGATATATCATCGGGACGGACAAGCAATCTGAAGGCTTTCATTCTCTATTACCATATTAGATACATCACATGTGGTTTCAACTGATGGTTGCCAGTCAAATGAGGAAAGCCAGTAGCATAGTGAGATAGTGATCAAACACCAGAAAGAAAGAAATAAATGCATCTCCAGTACTCGGCCATCCATGATGTGGATATTTAAACCCAACCTGTCCCTCAATTGACTTTCCACCGGCACTAACAATCAGGAAAACTGCCGTTCCAACAATACCTCCCAGACTGGCTTCGCCGACGAGTGTGGTTAATGTGAAGGCTCGCTTCCGTTGATCGTAGATGTTGATGCTAGAGCAAGAATATGTCAGAGTTGCACGAAAAGATACACACTAGTTGAGAGACAGGGCTCTTGCCTTTGCCATGATACCAGCGCGGACAGTTTGAGCTTGCTAAAGCAAACCAGCCAAGTCATAACCACGACACAAAACAATAGTTCACTCACCAGCAATAGTAATTGAGAAAGCCTCAACATACCACGGTGCCGGATGCTCAAGATGTCCTGACGTTCCAAGCCCAACAAGCTCAATCATAGCATTCCAGTAAGAAAGGAACCATGCACATGCTATTTATCCGAGTAAATTGCTTAGATAAACATGACAACTGCGGCACCATCCCCCGACCAGGTGCCTTCCATTTTGGGTCAAAACTTGTCACCCCAGTTTCCCCGTTTGCCTTCAGCCACGGGGAAGGTATAAATATCCTCTCCCCGTCCCAATTCCTTCTCTTCTTTCTTCCTTCTCCACACTCCAGGTTCACATTGCACATCGTGGTTCCTGTTGAGTACCTCCAATTTTTTGACTCGTTGGTCTCTGTTGGGGTCTCAGGGTAGGCTGTGGTACGAAGCACGTCGGTGGAGGTAACAGGGCTGGGACACCTGGCCGGAGACACTCCTACTCACCTCTGCGGATACTGACTGCCCTTCCTGGGGTTACCCACATGGGTCTCCCGGAGCTCTGTTCTCATCTCCAACCCAATTTTTGGGACCTTTTCACAGAGATAGCTCTCTGTTGTCCGACAAATTTTCTGACACTTTGCTTCAAGATTCATTTTTGTGGCTCCACTTCCATTGTTGTCTCTTTTGTCTCTTGTCTCTTGTTGCCATCATCTCTTGTTGTTGTTGCCATCTCTGCTGTCATCTCTGCTGTCGTCTTTTGTTGTTGTACCCTGTTAATTGTTTGTCATGTCATAGTAGAATACATTGATATCCATGTCCATGTTCATATTGTATATTCAATCTTTCTTCTTTGTCATTATTTATCAATTACGACCAAAGGCCCGAGGAGAGTAACACTTGACCTGAAGCTAGAATCAACCATGCCACACCAAAGATCCCTTTCAGCTACGATACTGAGACGCGATGAGATGTTTGCATGTGGTACCCATCTTGCCAGGCATTAAACCGACCAAGAGCAGAAAATGTCTACAATACATATAGGGATTCCCTCTTTTGTTCGGATGGTGGTTGCTTAAATTTGAGGATATGTTGCCGACGGAGTCAAGAACTTGGATATGGTGCGGTAGGTTCCGAGGTTCGATGGTGGCTAGCGAGGTGAGACTGCTTTTTGTTTTGGCATAATCTCGCCATTCAGTTGTATCCACTCTTAGGGGAACCTTGCTTGTGTTTGCATTGAATCGCAATGGGAACTCGAGTTGAGAAAATACTTGAGAAAATAAAAGGGTCTCAAAGGATCTCTTGATTTGAGTTTTGAAATGCTATAGCTTGATAGATATTGTACATGATGCCCAAAAAAAAACCGATTACTCTCGCATCTTACCTCCAGTAAGTGCCTCGCCAAGCTTCTTAACACGCTCCTGAGAGACATCCCAGCGAACAGCCTCGTTGGCACGGGTCTTGTTGGCAAGATTGAACACAGTCGGGGGGTTACCCAGGTTCCAGATGTTCTCGCCAGGCTGGTGGTCGTTGCGCCACGCTGGGTTCTCGCCCTCGGGGAATACCCGGTCGATTTCAGCAGCGAGCTGCTCCTCAGTTGTGATGAAAGTGCGAGCATTCACATACAACGACTGGAGGTGCTCCTTCCGCTCAATCTCTTTCTGTGCCTGCTTGGCTTCCAGACGTGCCCGGGAGAGCGCAAGGCGTTCCTCGCGGTTGGGGTCGGGCAAGACTGGCTGTTTATGGGGCATCATCGCCTCGATGGTCGATGGCCGGGTGAGGAGCTCATCCTCGCGCTGGGGTTGCTGAAGAATGCGGTCCCGCCGATTCTGACTCTCAAGACTGCGGCTGACAATCTTTGCATCCGCGGACCGTTTCCGCGAGTACAGGTCTCGCAGACCGTCCCGCAGGTTCTGTCTCCGCAGATCCGCCATCTTGTGCTTCCATTCCTGCTTCTCGGGGTTGCTGCTATTTGGGCTCACTACCCGTTCCGACTTGGGGAGTTGTGTGACTGCATTGAGATATTGTATCCGGGGCTTGTCCGCTCGGCGGGCCGGGAAGAGCTCGCGAGGCACGGGGAGAGTACCCCTGACGTGAGGTTTGCGGGGGTTGGTAGGCTGGAGAATTCTCGGCACATCGATGAAGTGAGGCGATTCGGGTCCAACTCGAAGGTTGGAGGAGGAAGCAAATCCACGGACCTGCACAGTGGCAGTCCGGCTATTGCGGAGGACAGACATGCGGCGCAATTCAACCCTGTCACTCCAGGGAGTGATAAAACTGGCAGGGTATTGTTGTAAAGTAGATGATCGAATCAAAGGTCAATGACACGACCTTCAATTAAGCCGGGACGTAACCTGAGGTTGATTGCCGTATAATAGGGAGGATACGCGGTCGAGTAAGTCGGAAGAAACAGAAGCGATTTTCCCTTGGTCCGTGCACGGCAATGTCTTGGCGCCAAAAAAAATAATTCCTTCGCCGCCTTTTATTTTTCTTCTTCTCTTCTTTGCACTCTGCCACTCTCCGTGTTTGGTCTTGCCTTCGATTTTTTTTTTCGTCAGGCACTCACTTCTCCCTTCACATTTCAACCCACAACCGCTATCATGGGTACAGGAAAGAAGGAGGCCGCTCGTAAAGTGCGGCAGGGGAAGCCCAACGATGGCATGGGCAATGTCAAAACCAAAGGTGAAAATTTTTACCGGTATGTACAGCCTCAGCTAAAATCGTTATTATTTTTAAATAATCAATACTGATTCGCCTCCCAGTGATGCCAAGAAGATCAAGACCTTGAACATGTTCAAGGATGGTACTCCACGCCGCAACGCTCAGGGTGATATCACAGTCGCTGCGAGTTATCAATCCAAAGAGTTGCCCACAGCCCGCATCGAGCCAAACCGTAAATGGTTTGCTAACTCCCGTGTCATCTCACAAGAGGCTTTGACCTCGTTCCGTGATGCTGTTGCTGAGCGTGCTGCCGATCCGTATCAAGTCCTCCTCAAGACTAACAAGCTCCCCATGAGCTTGATTCGGGACAATGATAAAGTTAACGGACTGAAGCAACATCAGGCTAAGATGGCTATTGAGACTTCTCCTTTCAATGATACCTTCGGCCCCAAGGCTCAGCGCAAGCGCGTCAAGCTTGGTGTGTCGTCTCTCGAAGACCTCGCTGGCGAGACAGCCAAGATGCAGGACAGCTACATCGAGAAGAACGATGAAGGAACTCATGCCGATGGAAGTGCGATTGTTCGCGGTGATGACACTGCCGCGGTCGAAGACCTGGGTCTGCTCACTACATCTCGTGAATCTGTCTTCTCTAAGGGACAGAGTAAGCGTATCTGGAACGAACTTTACAAGGTTATCGATTCCTCTGATGTCATCATCCATGTCCTGGATTCCCGTGACCCCGAAGGTACTCGTTGCAGAAGTGTTGAGAAATACATTCGAGAGGAGGCACCACACAAGCACTTGATCTTCGTTCTGAACAAGTGCGATCTCGTCCCCACTGGCGTTGCTGTAAGTTTCACTATTTCCCCTTTGCTATCCCTTCTTATCGCACCGTTCTTGCTTTTTTTGTTCTGCATTTTTCTGTTACCCCCCTGTTCCATCGCTAAGTCAAGGCCTCTTCCTGCGACTTCGGTCGTGCACGACTTCGTTTGTGCTTGTTTCAATGGAATTCCGTCTGTTACAGCTTTGGTATATTAACACTGGCCCGCACCGAATTTCGTTATGAACCTAGGTTGACTTGCTTTCGTCTTGAAAGCCTGTCGCAAAGGGCCAGCTGTGTTTTGTTTTTGAGTAGAAGTCTGCTTCTGCCTTTTTTGGTGGCATTGTAGCAGTCTTCTTAGTAACATCCCACACATTCTACCTTTACACAATGTTTTATTCATTGCTAGTGACTGATTGCTAACTTTGCATCTTTGACTAGGCCGCTTGGGTTCGTCATCTTTCTAAGGACTACCCTTGTCTTGCGTTCCACGCCAATATCAACAACTCTTTCGGCAAGGGTTCTTTGATCTCGCTGCTTCGCCAGTTCTCGTCCCTTCATTCCGACCGCAAGCAGGTGTCTGTTGGCTTGATCGGCTACCCCAACTCGGGCAAGTCTTCCATCATTAACACTCTCCGAAACAAGAAGGTGTGCACAGTCGCCCCCATTCCTGGTGAGACCAAGGTGTGGCAGTACATTACTTTGATGAAGAGAATCTATCTCATCGATTGTCCTGGTGTGGTCCCGCCCAACGCCAACGACACTGAGGAGGACATCCTTCTCCGTGGAGTCTGCAGAGTGGAGAACGTTCACAACCCAGAGCAATACATTCCGGCTGTTCTCCGCCGTGTCCTGCCCCGTCACCTTGAGCGCACCTACGGTATCAAGCACCAGGAGAACTACCTCGACTGGCTCGCGCTTCTTGCTCGCCAGGGTGGTCGTCTCCTCAAGGGAGGTGAGGCCGATCTGGATGGTGTCGCCAAGATGGTGATCAATGATTTCCTTCGTGGAAAGATCCCTTGGTACACACCCCCACCCAAGGGTACCGGAAAGGGTGATAAGGGCGAGAAGGACGAGGAACCTGCCGACGGTGTCGAGGGCCGTGAAGGTCGCCTCGGCGAGATGCCCCGCAAGCGCAAGTTGGATGAAAACAACGAGCCTACTGTCAAGGATGCCGAGGCTGAGGCCGAGGCTGAGTCTGCGCAGGACGAGGCGGTCGACGCCGAGGACAGCGATGCTGACTCGATCGCCAACTTGGAGGTCAGCGATGTGGAGAGTGGCGAGGAGGAGTGATTGATCCACCGGTGTTCTCTACGGCACTCGAGTGTCATCCCCATTCTGCTTTATGAAAAACAGAAAGTCTGCCGACATGAGATCGGCTATGCCAGCTCTTGAAACACCAGAGCTTCCCGCCGAGTCATTCCTCACCATGTCCGCATCGAGCGGACTTGACTCTACACAACGCATTCGGCGCGTGCTCTTATCGCACTGAAGTCTGAAGGCTGCCTTGCGACATGTCGCCCAGGCCCGAAGAGCGCCTGTCATCTGAAAGCCGCGTGATCAATCGTGAGCATCCAAGTACTTAATTTGTACAACCCGAGGAGTTTTGGTGTTTTTCAGTCACTAGCTCCAACTCAGATACCCGATTCGATGAGGAATCAAATTGAATGAAAATAATTTTTACTTAAACCCTTTCTCGTTCAGAGTGTTGTAATTGGTATCTTCGTACGTGTTGCTCTATAATCCAATCTTCCACCTGCGGCTGAGCCACCCGTGGACAGCAAGGTGATCAGCTGAGTTTGGTTCCAAGGTTGTGTGGTTCCACTCTTCAACCACGGATTGAATCCGGGGAGCAGCGTGGCAGAAAATAGCGACATACTTGGTCAAATAAATCTTCACTTGGCAATTTGCAACAAAATCGCACTGATTTCCACTTCATTGTTTCAACTGATCCTTCCAAGGTGCTGGACGATCTAAGATGGGCCGAAGACCATGGTAGTTTCGATGCCGGTTCGGTACCATCCTCAAAAGATCAAGCACATTAAGCCCACTACCTGGATCCCGGATGGATGGATCAGCTCCAGCACGCAGGAGGATATCCACAACCTCAAAATTGAATCGAAGACTAGCAATCCACACTGATGTAGCTCCAATACGGCCCCCAGGAGCATTGAT